ACTTGTGAAATATCTCTGCTGCACTTGCACATGGTGCCTGGATGAGGCCACCTTCTCCCGCGGCACCGGGGCTCAGCGCGGCCAGGGGCAGGAGGCAGGCAGGGGACGAGCAGGCAGGGAGGCTGGTCCCCGGGAGCTCAGCCCCACAGCTCCTCTGCCCGGGCAGTGCTGAGGGGCATCAGGAGAGACCCCCGAACACAGTCGAACACAGCGAGCCACTTCTCCTGGCAAGGAGTCACCGTCCTGCAGCCAGTTAAGACATTCAAGCTTCAGTTGTCGCCTCCCGCTGCTGGGAGAGATACAGGGGAGAGCTGGGGTCAGGGCAGCAGGTCAGACCAGAGGGACACTGGATGGAGCCAGCCTGGGCTTTGGGGAGCGCGCACCTACAGCATGGGGGATGGTCTGATGGGCCAGTGCATCACTGCCAATGGGATCAGCAGGTTCAGAGGCACCAAGATGGTCTGATGGGCCAGTGCATCACTACCAATGGGATCAGCAGGTTCAGAGGCACCAGGGCAACTCAGGAGCCCCAGGGACCTTGTCCTGGGCTGGTCTTAGCGTGTGGCTCCCTTGGGGCTGGGTCTAAGGGGAGGACAGGGTGAGCGGTGGGAGCCCGAGGACCAGCATCGAGCTGCTCCCTGGTTCCAGGGGATGGGGCACAGGTACCGGCAGAAACAGGCACCTCCAGAATGAGGGGCAGCCGAATCTGAAGGAGCCAGCAGTGACTAAATCTTGGGTTTATGGACTTGAAGCGGTTGGGATCCCTACGGCAGCATTGCAGAACCTGAGCTTGAGGAGTCCTGGGTACCCTCCAAGGCCAGTCCTCCAACGGGAGCTTGGCAAGAGCACCAGGACTAGGAATGTCTTGGAGCCCGCTATGGGATAACTGGCAACTGTACAGTCAAGGAGTCTTTTTTTCTGGAAAAATCCCAGTACTTGCGCCTTACATAGCAAAACTGTCCGTGTGCCCGGAGCACAATGCAAACACACTGAAGCGGGGGCATGGCTAAGGATAAGCCAGCACATTGTGGGCTGTCCCAGAGGCAAACACAAAGTCAAGAGTGCTCGAGCTGGGAAATCTTAAATGGCAAAACAGTAAAAATGGCATTTAATGGCATCTTTTCCAAACCAGTCTGAAATTCCATAATTTTATGGAGATAGTGTGAACAAAACAAAAATCACAAATTTCAATCTCATGATGGATTTCATCCAAATTTCCTGGAAGATGAAGATGGAGCCCAAGAAAGCATTGCAAAATAACATGGCACGTGAGAGGGGGGCTGCCCGTCTCCCTGCAGCTCAGCACCACACACACCGAACCCACCCTGACAGGGCAGGAGAGCACCGCGTCCCCTTCGGACACGCTCCAAGCAACGGCCGACATCATGGGAAGGGTACACGGGAGGGTGCTCAGGAGATATGCAGAAACCCTGCAATGAAATGGGCTCCAGTTTTGTGCCACTTGTTTCACAGATGCTTTTGATGTAAATAATTTTGTAAATGCAATAGGACAAATTGGATTTTGGGTGGAATGGGAGGACGTCTAGTAACTGATGTATTCTGCCATGAAGTGTATTGGAGACCGTGAGTTGGTACTGCAGCCATAAAGCAGTTACTTTATCTTAATACCTGATGTATCTCCTTAAAGCATCTTTTCGTAATTGTTACATGAATTAATGTAGTTACCATAAATCCTGTTCTTGCATTGCCTCTGACCCCAATCTACAGCCACCTAGCTTGGAAAGTACCAAAGTGAAATTGATGTAAGCCTTTGTTTTAATTGCAAACAATTCAAAGAAATGATTCCCTGCTGGGAAATTGGCATTTTATGTTGCTATTAAATAAGATTTTATTATAGCATGAATCTCACACTGCTATTCAATGGGGGTATTCAAGGCGTGAGCTATGTTAAAGAAAAAAATTCAGCAGTTTTATTTACTGATGGTTTGGAGATATGTGGCTTTTTAAAAACTCAAATGGTCACATGGCAGGAAAGGAATTTTATGGCAGTGTTTTTTGTTCCGGGGCTGTGAGACTTTCTGAACACCAAGGGTGGCGTCTCTACCACCCATCCACAGCCAAACAGAGGTATTTTTCAGCGCTGCTAATTTAGGAAATACTTTTTCACAAGTTTGGTTAAATTCTGCTTTTGGAAAGTTACGACCTTGTTACGCAGGGTCCCGCCCCACCGCCCAAGGGCAGTTTAACCCCTTAGACTGAATTCCCGCAGCCCGGTGCCCGTTCCCGGGATCAGTGCCCCAACCCCGTCCCCTGAGATCCACTTTCTGGCTCCTCTGCCCCTCGCTGCTCCAAAAGGCTGTCGGGGGGCTCTGCTTACCCGCACAGCCCTGCTCTCCCCGGGTCAGAAAAGCGCCCGTGCAGACGCCTCCGCATCATGCAACCACACAAAAAAAAACCCCAAAACCCAAAAGGGAAGGTTTAAAGGCAACTGAGGGACAGCCCAGCACGGGCAGACAGCCCCGAGACCACCCGAGCAACCACAGCCCCTCGGGGAGGGATCTAAATCCGCTCGGTGACTCCAGCTGGGAACGGGGACCGGCCGCCCTCCCCGCGGGCAGGAGAGCCACCGCCGAGCCCACGGCGCTGCCGTCCTTTTACTACCCCAATGCAAGTTTAGGCCGCTCCACGAGTTGAAATTACGCCTGAACAGGTATGAAGGCAGGCACGCATGGCAAACGTGAAGATTTACAATGTGAACATTCAATGCTTTGTATTATATTTTATTTTCCTTCTATCACTAACTTTTTGGCGTCCGGTACCTGCCTTGGTAAGGAGCCTTTATCAACATTCTGGCAAGTATCAAACGGTTAAGAAACACTGCAGTAAGAAAGTAATTTTTAAATCAATGCTAATTTTTTTTTCTAAATACGCTTTGTGCTGTTTTCCTCAGTTTAATTGTCCTGACAGCTTTACGCCTATCCATTTGACGTGTGCACAAGTCAATTTGCTCAGATGCACAGACCTGCTTTTGATTTGATTAGAAAACTGTGGTACAGATTCCCCTCCAGAAAATGGATGTTATGAATGCAATGGCGAATCTGGCAAGGTTTGGGAAATGCAAGTAATGGTTTTCAATTAAATTGCTAATCTGAACTTAATTATCAGAAATTCTCCCACCCTAGAACTTAACTACGGCAGCAATTAGCTTTAGTCTAAATAATTTTTGCATATGAGGTGAATAATGAAAACAACATAAATGAACTGACTCAGTTGTCAGAACCAATCCTTTCCAGGTACACAGCAAAAACTCTACAAAAGCATTTTGGAGCCATTTAATGAAAAAAGCAGAATTTTATTATATGGTTTCTGTCCATTATTCGACATTGCTGTAAATGGCTCACATTTACTGCAACTTCTGTACAGATGTGTGGCTTTGTATTACCAGAACAGCAAATTTAAATGAAAAAATAAATGTTCAACAATTCCACACAAGCTTTTACAGTCCAACATTTCACTGAGTAGGTGAAAACTACAGACTTGTTACTACAGAATTATTCAGCATGAATAAAAAAAGGTTTGGGTGCAAGTAATGGTTTTCAATTAAATTGCTAATCTGAACTTAATTATCAGAAATTCTCCCACCCTAGAACTTAACTACGGCAGCAATTAGCTTTAGTCTAAATAATTTTTGCATATGAGGTGAATAATGAAAACAACATAAATGAACTGACTCAGTTGTCAGAACCAATCCTTTCCAGGTACACAGCAAAAACTCTACAAAAGCATTTTGGAGCCATTTAATGAAAAAAGCAGAATTTTATTATATGGTTTCTGTCCATTATTCGACATTGCTGTAAATGGCTCACATTTACTGCAACTTCTGTACAGATGTGTGGCTTTGTATTACCAGAACAGCAAATTTAAATGAAAAAATAAATGTTCAACAATTCCACACAAGCTTTTACAGTCCAACATTTCACTGAGTAGGTGAAAACTACAGACTTGTTACTACAGAATTATTCAGCATGAATAAAAAACTACAACTTTTATTTTTTAAACAGGAGTCACTGGTTTAATTTTTTTATGCTGTTTAAAATTACTGTGATAAAAATAATGATTTTTTAATAATGCCATACACCGGTACGATATAGGATTTGTCCCCAGTATATATCTTTTGTTTAATATACAAAATAGAATAATGACACATCGCTGACTCTATGCTGTTATGCACGTTAGTTTGGAGGTGGGGGATATTTTCATACACACAGCCTTTCATCAGAAAAAGAGTGCCTCTTGCTGTTTTAAAGAGGCCCTAATCCTTTCCTGAAAATTTGGTTCCTATGTAACATCGATGGCTCAGCAACACCTGGTTGCAGACTGGACTAAGGATAGAGCTTAACTAGTATGTGATAGTACAATCTTTTAAAACCCTCACTCTAAGGTATGACCCTGAAGTCCTCACTCGCTGAAGTTCGACTGCGGGAAACAGGATTTAGCTGATGTTCATCCAGGCACTTCCCTCCTGTTTTCTACCTTTTTCTGTGAAAACGGCGAGGTCATTTTTCGGCTTCAATTGGCACCTATTCCCAGCCCCCTCCCTCCCTCTCCCCTCCCTTCCAGCTGCAGAGCTCCTAACCACCCCTCCGTTTCTGCCGCCGCTGCTTGGGGCGATACCCAGGCTGTGCGAGGCCGACAGCAGCTCCCTCTCCATCCCCGCTCCCTGGCTTCTCCTATGTAAGGCCATTCCTGGGCGTTTGTCGTGTGCAAGTTCCGCCACGCAGCACGCGTGTGTCCTGAGCTGCCGGCGGCGGCCGTCCCTCGGTCGGATGCATGCACTTTGTGATAAGGCACTGAAGAGACGAAGTCAGAATTCTCCCTGCTTTATCCAGAGTGCAGATACTACCCACTGCTACAAGGACTACGGATACACAGAACATGGACTTCTCACTGCTTACTAAAGCACTACGTATTTTTAATGGGAAGTTTAAAACTTAACAGCACGTACAAGACGATTGCTTTCTTCTAACATCACAGTTTCCTTTTTTTTTTTTCCTTAAATCCATAAACTGAAAATGAATATACAGGCATATAGACAAAAGGGGGGTAGAGAGCCTCTCTTCTCCTATGTTACCAGTTCTCTCAAGGTGATAATTTGTTTGTGTTCACTGCAGTTACTTTTCTGCTGGCAAAAAAAAAAAAAAAAAAAAAGTTTTGTATCTTTGTGCATACAAATGCACAAAGGTTTGCAGACGTGCACCCACGCGCACCCACGCACACACTCACTCTTTCACACAAGCTCAAATTGAGGTATCTGGGGATGCAATTTTTAAAAACATTCTCTAAAGTAAGAACAGTTTTCCTTTTAACTCAAGAGCCCACCTGAAACCAAACAGTATGAAACTCCTATCTGTATCTCGAAGGGGTTGCGTGAGTATTTTCAGTGAGTTGGGTTGAAAGTTATAATTAAAATACTGAACTTTACCTTAACTGCTACAAAATGTACATATTCTTTACAGATCATTCAAAGAGAAGAGAATGATTACTTTTTTTTTTATTAAAGATGATGTTTTACTCCAAAGTACTGAATATAGTATCTTTTTTTAATAGATATAACATTCAAAAAGAGATTTAAGAAAGGATGAAAATTTAGTTTCCTATTTCACTTGGAAACAAACTTTTGCTGAACAATAGAAATGTACTAGTGTATTGTGAACAACCTATGCTCTATATTTACATATTGCTGGTACCTGTATGTGTATTATTGCCAAATTTTTCAAGCTGTTTTTGCTGTGGTATGTGAGGCTGTATATGAAATTAACCCCGTATGTTCAGAGGTGTATGTATGCATGTGCACACACGCGTCTTTCCGGCTTACATTTTTTGCAGCGGAGGTCTGATTTAGCAGTGAATCATGAATGGTAACCAACCATACAGATAGGAGTATTCCATCCAAGCTCCAACTGGAATTTTTACACAGTGATTCGATAAACATAAAATCAACCCTAAAAACATCCACTGAACACAGGTTTTCCTTTCTGAACAGAGTAGTACTTTGGATACTAGACACCGATGCCTTCAGTACTACCTCCGGGCAAACCACACCTTGTACGGGTTACCATTCCGTGTTTGTGACCCCTACAAAAAATATAATTACATGTATCATGATAAAGCAATCTGTCATCTAAAAATCATCCTTATTATACACTATACAAGCTATTTTACAATCATTTAATAAATTGCTTTTAAAGCTGCAGTAGCCCTTCCCTTCTTTTCTCAGATCAGCGAATATACCGATTATACATATTTGAAACTATAACTAAATACAAAAATATATTAGGTTTTGTATTTTATCAGATGATCTTTCTCATTTCTATTACACAAATAATCTGGCCACTTTGAGTAAAAATCAAATTTTAGAGTGGCTTAGTAAATATTTAAATTTTGAGATACAGAAAATTGTTAAGGTGCACGTAGAAAAGGCTACTACAGCTTCTAAACGTTTTAAAATATAGTTATCAATGGCAACAAGGAGAAATTCACAAGACCTATGGTAATTTTATGGCACGCTAGTAGTTCGGTATGAAGGGATGCAGCCTTACAAAGACAGGAGGTTTGACATACGACTCTAAGACCACGAAATCAGTAGCGGAGCTTTCCTGCTCTCCAGGAGAGAGGATGAACCAGTCAGCGACAGGTGGAGATGTGAAAATGGGTCTCTAACCACACGAGTTTGGAGCCTGTATATCCAGAGGTACAGTCAGCCAGCGCAGCTGCTCTGCTTTACTGCCTGCATGACGGTAAACATCTCACCGAAGAAAAGATTTCTAGAATCGATACAAGAAAACAGAACAAAACCAAACCACTGGGCATAATTACATGTCTGCCTCTTAAGTCAATGGTATTTTTCCATATATACTTGTATGATGATAGATTTAAGTGTATAGAAAATGTGAGTTTCTCCACACAGAAGTAAACTTTTCTTAAGCTATGCATATTTTCCTGAAAATTTCCTGATGGGCAGTCAGGACTGATCTTCTTGGCATCAATGCAGCCCATGACTCTTATAGTTATGGCTGTTGCATTATATGCAAAAATCAGGCTTTTTTTCTAGACACCGATGCCTTCAGTACTACCTCCGGGCAAACCACACCTTGTACGGGTTACCATTCCGTGTTTGTGAACCCCTACAAAAATATAATTACATGTATCATGATAAAGCAATCTGTCATCTAAAAATCATCCTTATTATACACTATACAAGCTATTTTACAATCATTTAATAAATTGCTTTTAAAGCTGCAGTAGCCCTTCCCTTCTTTTCTCAGATCAGCGAATATACCGATTATACATATTTGAAACTATAACTAAATACAAAAATATATTAGGTTTTGTATTTTATCAGATGATCTTTCGCATTTCTATTACACAAATAATCTGGCCACTTTGAGTAAAAATCAAATTTTAGAGTGGCTTAGTAAATATTTAAATTTTGAGATACAGAAAATTGTTAAGGTGCATGTAGAAAAGGCTACTACAGCTTCTAAACGTTTTAAAATATAGTTATCAATGGCAACAAGGAGAAATTCACAAGACCTATGGTAATTTTATGGCACGCTAGTAGTTCGGTATGAAGGGATGCAGCCTTACAAAGACAGGAGGTTTGACATACGACTCTAAGACCACGAAATCAGTAGCGGAGCTTTCCTGCTCTCCAGGAGAGAGGATGAACCAGTCAGCGACAGGTGGAGATGTGAAAATGGGTCTCTAACCACACGAGTTTGGAGCCTGTATATCCAGAGGTACAGTCAGCCAGCGCAGCTGCTCTGCTTTACTGCCTGCATGACGGTAAACATCTCACCGAAGAAAAGATTTCTAGAATCGATACAAGAAAACAGAACAAAACCAAACCACTGGGCATAATTACATGTCTGCCTCTTAAGTCAATGGTATTTTTCCATATATACTTGTATGATGATAGATTTAAGTGTATAGAAAATGTGAGTTTCTCCACACAGAAGTAAACTTTTCTTAAGCTATGCATATTTTCCTGAAAATTTCCTGATGGGCAGTCAGGACTGATCTTCTTGGCATCAATGCAGCCCATGACTCTTATAGTTATGGCTGTTGCATTATATGCAAAAATCAGGCTTTTTTTTTTTTTTCAATATATAAAATAACCCGCTCATTTAACCCAGTCCTAACTGGATGTAATTTTCTATGAATCTACATATCCAATTACTTTTGCACATATACCAAAAGTATTTGTTTCATTCGCATCTATTTAAATGATATTTGAGAGTGTTCTCCCACCCACCCTGGCCCTTAAAAAATGCCAAATTTTCATGGTCACTTTGACAGTTGAAAGCTATTAGGTTAGAAAAGCCCAACCCATTTTCACATGAATATACTCAAGGATTAATGTCTAGAGGTCATTTAGGAAAGCTACGAGCTGCCCCACCTTAAAAAACCAGCTGTACAATAGGCATCTTGAAGTATTACAAAAAAACTATGTAAGAAAAAAATGAACAAGCCTAGTTCACGGTATATAAAGTTAAAGGAAATTGCTAAAACCAGACAGTAATAGCTATAAAAGGCACAACTTCCCTTTTCTGATATACACTTGTAAACTTTCTTCAGGTTACATGCATAAACCAAAATGCTACCTTAACTTTAAAAAAAAAAAAACCAAAACACTTTAAAAAAAAAAAAAGCCTAGAAAATTGTCTCCAGCCAACTGCAGAAATGAATTAGCAGAATGTTCGTAACACAGCCTCAGATCTTGTCACCGGTGGTTTTGATGCATCCATGGATGTTGCAAGAGGGGAGATACATAATTTCTGACAAATAACATTCATTTTCCTTTCCTTTCTCCCCAATTTTTTTACCAAATGTGAGAAATCCACTGCTTCTGTAGCCTAAATCTTGGCCCTCTGTAAACCACATGTAGTGCATAATTACAAAAGAAACACCGCTGCAAGGACAAAATTAACAAGTTCTGTAAGTTTTTTTTCTTTACAAAAAAAAAGCTATCATTTGACGTTTTCTTAAGGCAACCCTTTTGTATTAAGGCAGTCACTTTTGATGAAATAAGAGCTTCTTGATATTTCCATTTGAATATTTTGGTATCTGATTGCTGATGATTTCTGCCAACATTTCTGGGAACTCAATACTCATGGATTTATCCAAAAATGTCTGGAAGCAAAAGCTCAGAAGATTTTCAACCACCTACAAGTGATAAAGCAAAGAATTACTTTCACACGAATACATACAGAAGAACTATTAACCTACATCCTTCCTTCGCCATAACTTCTCACAGCGCAGGCCAGCGCGGTGTCTGGTTTGCCAGCCACCCTAAGTACGCCTCACACCCTGCTCAGATAACACTTGCAACGCAGGGCAGACATGCACAGTTATCCTCATTTTAATTAGTAAGTCTTGTAAATGGCGTTCTAATATAAAACTAGCGAACAGATCATGCATGGTCTTTACAAATACTGAAGAGAGTTTGTATCAATTCCCATTCTAGCATATAAATAACATACATATGGATAAGCTTAAGAAGATCTTTCCAGGTGCTTGGTACACTAACAAGAAAAGAAAAACAATTTTGAGGTCTCAAAGTTTCCCTTGCCTTATCCAGCTTAAACACCACTTGGACTACTTTGTACTATACGCACAATTTAGAGTACAGACCGCAAAAAGAGACAGCCTGAATTCTGAAATTCCTTGCAAAATCAGACCGCTACTAATACTAAAAATAGCATCAATGCATTATTTTAATGCAATTTCAAACAATTCCATAGATTATTGAATAGTTTGTCTCTACTGTTTTTAAACTTCACATCTCTGCTACTACTGCAAAATGATTTACAATTTCCAAGTTCCTCATTTTTAAAGCACCATCATTTTAAAAAACTAAAGAGACTGAGAATTATATTAATTATAAAATTAATTGCTGTGGAGTCCACTGCAAAAGTAGTCTGAAAGCACCACGTTCACCTCTTTCAATTAGCCTTTAGTTAGACGGTAGGGGAGCATGACCACCTCCTCCACCCCGCTTCCCCCCACATATTTATCCAAGTTCCTCCGTTTTAAAGCACCATCATTTTAAAAAACTAAAGAGACTGAGAATTATATTAATTATAAAATTAATTGCTGTGGAGTCCACTGCAAAAGTAGTCTGAAAGCACCACGTTCACCTCTTTCAATTAGCCTTTAGTTAGACGGTAGGGGAGCATGACCACCTCCTCCACCCCGCTTCCCCCCACATATTTATCCCTTTAAATAAAAAAAAAGGATAGAGGACATTACTGTCATATCCCCAAACTTATTTATCTGGAATGTCTACAGCATTCGTTTAAGAACTTACATCATGCATAGAGTCCAACAGTTTAGTCAGTTGATAAAATCGCTGCCAGTTCTGGCTTGAGTTCCCTTCTCTTTTCACTATGGCCTTTCCCAGCTCTTTAATGTATGTCATACGGATTTCTTCAAACAAAGATTGACTCTTCAGGCCTTCCTTAGGAACTGTAACATTGATACGAACCTTTAAGACATTATAAATCTATGAATTGTGTCATTATTTAAGTTCTCTTACATTAGTTACACAAAAAAGACCAAAAGAAAAAGGACTTGGACTTAATGAAATGTCAGCTGAGAGACAAGGAAGAGAGAGGAAACTGAGACAGATGACTCATGGAGCAAATAGCATAGGACTGCTGGCAAAAGAAAAATAAAAAACCCCAAAGGCAACCCAACAAGAAATAGAGGGAAGGGAACTAGACCATGGAGGCAACAACACTAAGCCCTGGAAGCGCCCTGATGAAGAACCACCAGGGCTGGAGCTCCCGTGTTCTCAGTGTCTGGGGAAACATGACATTGGAAAGATTGCATAAAAATTCTGTGTGCCGAGGGAAGAGCGAGGGTAGGATCACAGGATGGCTTGGCTTGGAAGGGACCTTGAAAGATCATGTAGTTCCAACCCTCCTGACATGCACCAAATAACGTGTCCAGGCAAGGCAGTAACAGAGAGACTGGACAGCAAACTGACTGCCCAAGCCAGGGAGGACTCAGGTCTTGGACAGAGCTTCTTGGAATAGGGATGGGACACTGAGATAGCGCTGGCCGGACGAGAAGCTTTGGGTTAGAAACCCAAGGCGTGGGGACCGAGGCCTGTATTCAGACTCAAATTCATGTTAAATCCCTGTGCCCACATTCTCCTACTAGGATGGTCCTTCTAAAGGCCAAGGACTAGTAAACAAATCAGGACAAATCAAGCATATGGACTCCAGTGGTCCTTAAGATGCTTGATTTGAAGCCTTTGATTACCTTGGTGAAGTGAATGGAAAGAGCTGAAGACAGAGAAGAGAGAGAGCCGAGACAAAGCCGACTGAAAGCAAGAGAGGAGGCAAGAGGCCACTAAAGAACACTCCCTCCCTTAAAAAATTCAACCATTCATCCGTGAGGAGCTGGAGTGAAGTTATCGTCTGCCTTGTCTACACAGCAGATGACAACATGTCAACTGTTGCTTCAGTAATTTAAATGGAAAAGGTCTGTGAGCTACGTCTATGTGTGAGCTACGTGCCTAGACCCGCGTGGGATTCCTGTTTTACTCCTCCTCCTCTTCCTTTTCTCTTGGAAAACTTACACAGAAACACAATAAACATAAATTAAAATTGTGAAGTCATGGATTAAAAAGCTATACAAATTTCAGCTATTCAATTTTCAGAAGTTCCACAATGTACCACTTACACAATGTATGTACTGGAAAAGAAGTGTGAAAATATATTGTCTTTCACTGTGAATGTAACAAAGAGGCCTTCTGCTGGTTAACGCCAGCGCTTGCCGTACTTCACTTGTGAATGGGCTTCATTCTGTGAGTGTTGCCTCTTCACCATTTCTGCCACGGAAATTCCTTTAAGGAAATTTCCAATTCCTGTAAAGGAAAGTTGGCCTACACCACATCCAAAACACTTGAGGAATTTTCGGGAGAGATTTCAGAAACTGCTTTAAATCTGCAGTTTCGGGGAAGTTTCAAGTTCCTACAAAGCCCACGGCAGCGCGGAGCCGAAACTTCCTCTGAAAAGAGCCCTTGTCCCAGTTCTGGGCTTGGCAGGCGAGGCTGCGCCGTCCCTGCCAGGCCGCCGAGGTGACGGGCTTGGCAGAGCAGGGAGGAGCTGGTCATGGCAGCGTACTGCACCCGACACCTCTCCTGCCCACGCTCGTCACCCAGGGCTTCGCAGCACGTACAGCGCTGGGTTACGACATCCTCCTGCCTTCATTTGGGAAAAGCCCAAAGCTACCAAGTTAATTTGTTTGTAAGAATTAATGCTACTATTCACTGGAAATATTAAAGATACGGAATGTTTGAGCCCTCGGTGTAATGAACTGTTTAAAACTTTTAAAAATATTTACTTTTCATCATGTAGATACTTGCATTGCTGCTCTTACGGATACTTTTAAAGCATACTGGCATACCTGTCACTACACTAAAACAAAAATAATCTTCTGTCAAGCAGAAGCAGCAAAGGCTCCAGGAAATCTGCAGTCACCGCCTCAGACACGGCTTTCTCAGTCCTGTGGGAGCGCGGGTATCGGCGTGACGGCCGTGGGACAGGATTTCCCCAGGACAGACAGGCACAGGCTTTAACTGCTCAGACAGACTGAGCGGTGCAAGGCGAGGTGCCCAACTCACGCCTTCTCGCAGCACACACACACGGGCTCTTTACTACTGAGAGTCCCTGGATTGAAACGGAGCCAGGGTTACAGCCGAGCTTCCGCAGGTGGCTATAGCCCTGCTGCGCACGAGGAGGAAAAAGTCACTAGGTACCAGTGAGTATGAACACAGGGTACAAATAACATTGTAAAAGTTATTTGCGTAATGTCTCAGTGTATTTCTGTATATTCTAAAAGGACTATTTTGACACTATACTTTGACCTTTCATGCAGTACAGACAACAGAATTTCACTAAGCTGTGACTTGTTTTAACTACCGCATATCCTATCGAAAGACATAAAAACATCATGTAGTCTATTATACAAATCTATCTTACGACATCTATCGTAAATCCACCATATACTTTTTAGATGCAAATGCAAAAAGCTGTAGCTGTATTTAACAATTTTAAATAACTTCTGGGGGAGTTTGATAACTTTTTTTGGGGGAAACTGCTTCACTGGATCAGAACTTCCTCACAGGTGGTTGTCAGGGTTGTTGTTTTAAGTATTTCATGGGCATGATGTCATAGCTTTGCCCATTTCTTTGGGTCCTGAACCACTCAGCCAGTTTGTGATGCATTTTTGAAGAATTTTAAGTGGCAATTCTGAGTTAGGCACCTCTGTTGGAGCTGCAAAGTTTTGAACACAATCCATAAGATCTTAGCATGAATGTCTTGTATCTGCTAAAAAGCAGAACTTCCTTCACTAACCCTATATAGTCAGGTGCCAAGCAGAACATGTTGACTTTTATGGCAAAAAAGGGGATCTTACAGGAAATCCTGTATCAGATATCTAACACCATTTTAAACTACACATGCACACTCATAATACTGGCAAGTTGAACTTACATTCTTCACATAGGTATTTTAACTATTCACCTACTTGTAGAAAGGAGAAGCAACGTTTTCATGCAGAGATACTCTTCATATGAGACTTGAAGCCGCGATAGCTCTCGGGCAACCATAAGCATATGTTTGCATTGTTCATACATACAGGGTAGATTCATTCTCTGCCTGAGAAATAAGAGTATAAAAATTAGTTAAATGTCTAGCTATCCAAAAATTCTAAATCTAAGTTTTTCCACGCTTCATTCAAGAGCGGCAGGGTTTGTAGAGGCAGATGACAAGCTAGTACTTGATCTATCTCACAGCAGAACAATCTTTGGTTTTCTCCAGTGAACCCATTCAGGGCAATTGCCTTGGTCACCACATACAAACACTGGCCTATAACTGCAGCACGAGGGGAGCATGACGTATGAAATCCCAGTGTTATAAAGGAAGCCTGTCTTTACCAAGGACCGATCAGTAAGCTCTGTTATCAACACCCAACACAACAGTTCAGCACAAACTTGACACAAAAATCAAGTTCAGTCACTGTGTGACAAAGTTCTCGAAGTCTGCAGTCCCAAAGTATTTAGTCTGTATAAAGAAACATGATGGTATACTAGAGATGAGATCTCTCTAGTTCTTTCAATACTTTTGAGAAGTCCACCTAAATTTAATATGTATTTGCTCGCTAGTGATAGCATCAACTTTCCATAACTTCTCAATTTTCAAAGTGACTTCATACTTCTCGTACTCTTTTATGTTCTTAAAGTGATGCCTAGTATTGCAATTAAATTTCATTACCTTTGTAGTGTAATAATAAGGTTTCTAACCATAAATGGAAAGACATGTCGACAACCAAAGAAAAATCTCGGAAAGCACTTACTTGAAATCAGAATGACAAACATTATGTATTTATATATTCTCTTCCTACTAGTTTTTCTATTTTAATGAAACCCTGCATCAAGACAGGAACTCCTTTTATTTAGTACTTCAGCTGAAGCAACAATCCTCTTTACATGTGCTTTTATAGCTGGTTACTGTGAATACTGCAGAATTACAGTTTTGGGTGGGAAATGAACAAGAACAGATTAATTCTGAAGAGTGTAAGAGAGATTTATGCTTTTCCATGTAAACTTTTGTAGAGAAAAAGATAGGCAAAATAGTACATTTCAAATGCAATGACCACACAATCTCTCTACAGTGATGCTAGCAATTTATTTTTCATTAATGTGTCACCTTTTCTAAGACATCATCTATTCAGTATTATAATCTAAACAAAGACACAGGCAAAATTAAATCCCAGTGTAAGTTAACAGTAAAATTTGGTTATGAAACGGCACCAATTCCTCCAAAGCTGCTATCATTTTTCAGTTCTCCCTTTCTTAGCCCTGCAAGAGAATTATATAATGTACCCTCACAAGCATCGTAAGAAACCCTAAGTGAAAACAAGAAGAAACAGGCACCTTTCTCAAGGTGCAAAAACCCAAGAATAATAGGAATTCAGATGGGTTTTGAAAGACAGACAGACAAGCTATCGAAACTATTAAAACCAAATCCAGTACAAGTCTAAAGCCCCATCATTTCCAACTGCATGTTGTTGGTCAATTCCTTCTGAGTGGAACAGGACTATGTGTGGCACTGTCTTATACACAAACAGTATCTACAGCTATATGCATACATGCACGTACATGAACCTATAAACACTGACGTTACGTTAGACTTCAATAATCAAGGAGTAATGACGAGAATACTAGGTACACACAAGGTAAGTTGCACAAGGCAGGAATAAGAAGATGATGTTCAGTTGTAGGATGTTTCTCAGGGCACTTCAAACAAAGCCACCATTTGGCCGTTTGGCAAATTCTCTCCTAACCCCTCCGGGCTGTATCAAAGGGCATCTTACATATTTCAAATTGAGTAATTTAAACACATTCTATGACAGGGCTCAGCAGTTTTCCTCATGTAAAACTATTACCATTTCTGGGCAGAAGGTTAAAATAAACATTACGAAATGGGTCAGCCTGTCATTTATTTCTATCTGCTGTAAATGCAATCATCACCGCAAGTCTGAGAATCTATATGAAGACATGCAGATTTTTGGTAAAGCCAAGGCTATGCAAATTGCAGTCCTCAAAAAATGAGAGTAAAACACAGTTCTCCTCCCCTTCAGAGAAGCCTGAGTGCACAGATGAGCTCTGCACTATGCCCTGGAGGGCAGCGGATCCAGGCTGTGTCAGAACAAGAGGGACGCTGATTCACTGGAAGTCCTTAATGCTGGCGAAGGGTCTGGGAAGAGGTCCCAGACATTCCCCTCGCAGATCTCCTGGCCAGAGTGCATCAGATGATCTCAGCTGCCACAGAGCTGTGCACGGAGGGAGGCTGTCCGAGGATCCGGGTCAAGCCACGGACCAAAGACCCAGCGAAGAGGAGGGACGTCGGGGCTCTCTTCTTACTCCCTGCTCCGTTTCACTGGTACCCCTCCCTATAGAGGGCATTTAGCAATTTTATGAATTAATTTACCCACACATAAACCAGATATAATACTTAAAATAGGTATTATACTTAGCTAATTAAAATAGATATTATACTTAGTGATGACATCACACATGATTTCTTCTCAGCAGAAACTATCTACAGAACCATACTGACTTTGTGGAGTCTTCAAGTAAAGCCCTGGTGATAACCAGGGCTGGTAATCCAGGGGAAGTTGGAAGGTCTGGCAGTTGCCCGTACTCCACAAAAGCTCAGGAGCCGCTGAGGTAGGAGGCAGAGCCAGTGCTGGGGCCTGGGGGAGCACCAGGGCACTCCCCCCGGTGACACCGGGCGGATCGCAGCAGTTCAATGCTTTTCCAATTATTGCCATTCATATAAATTGAGACTTAAACAGCTGACTAACAGCGTTTTATCACTTTTGAAGTGATCCTGCTTTAGTGGTTGTAAATCTAGTCCGATTTGAATCGCCTTCTTATTCTGTATCTAATATTCCTCTGCTTTTGTAACCAGCTACCTCAGAAAAGAACATGCAAGTCGGGCATTAGCTGGAAGTTTTAGCTCAATGAAAGCCCATGTACACGGGATGTACATATGCATTCTGTGTGGGATGCATGTTGACGATAAAAGCATGTGATGATTTTCAACACTGCTGTGAGTCATTCAGTTCAGCTAAGTCTATAAAAGAATAAAAATCAGTAAACAAGATGCTGGCATTCTGAAAAAACAGATGATACTGACTCCACAGAATTAGTTACAAAAGAATGTTTGGAAAAAATTCTGAGAACCAATAAAACATTGCTTATAAAACTGTAATCACTTGTTATTTTCTTTCTATTCAAATAACACCAATACAGATATTCAGCATGGTATAGAATATTGTAAGGACAAATGAGACCAAGGAGTTGACCTCAAACCTAAGAAGAGCAAAGAGCTAAGATGATGAGCATGCAGACAGAGTCAAAATCCTAAGACACAGGACTTCCAAGAACTTCTTTCTAAAGCTAGGCAGCAATTAAATGGCATTTGCTACTTGATGAACACAACTGTGCAATAGTTACTGTTGCTCACTGTGCACACTGTGACACAAATACAGGCCTAAAGCTGATACAGTGATAGTGCCAACTCCAACAAAAGCATGTTTTGAATCACAAATTGTGGAAACAGCTATACAATACTACAAAATCACAGGTTTATACAATCTCCAAATACTAAATGATGGTCTAAAGCTTGAGATTTATTAAGCTGCCAAACTTTTCAGGAACTTGAATTGAGTTTTGTGTGCGTGTGTATATATATAAAAATACATATATTATACATAAAATTGCCAGCTGGTATAGACATACCTCCATAAAAAAACCCAACCATTTTTCTTGTTTTGAAACGTAAAATGATGAGCTTACTGAATAGTCACACACTAATCCATTAAAGTATATTATTTCTACCCAGAAATGAAATACAGAAATGTAAATCTAAAATATTTTCCAAAGCCTTACAATAACTTAAAATACATTTTTGCCTGTCCCTTGATGAAGAGCTGAATAAGACCCCCCTCTCCCCCCAACCTGTTTGGAGATTAAAACCTGTCAATGGCTGCTCTGTAGTTTTTTCCCTGTGCAGAAAATTAGCTAGGGAAGAAAATAGCAGTTTTACACACTAGAGGACTAAGGTGTGCCTACGCAGTTCAGTGGCAGCTTTTCTACTGACTGAAGTGGAAATGGGATCGGGCAGTAATTGCCATCCAACAGATTATCGACCGTAAGGGAGCACTAAATGCTTTCCATTTTCCTGCCCAGGTTTACCAGCGCCGGCTCTTCAGGTCTGGAGCCCTTGATGCCGTTCCCTCCCTGAAGGCTAAGGCAGGAACTGGCCGAGGGACCACCGCGAACTCCGCTGCCTCGTCGGGTGAGCATCTGCAGCACGCTGCTTGGATCACCCACCTCCAGCTACCACCCTACCTCCAGCTTGTGAGAGGGAGAGAGAGAGAGAAGGAGGCTTTCATTTCGAGACCTGGATCAACTGCACTAGCCAGGAGTTCAGAAAAAAATGGAAGCAGGAAGAATGATGAAGTGACCTGCATTCTTGCAGAAATGATAGCTGGATCTTCAGAAACTCGTCTTTCCCCCTTTTTGGTTTTGTAGACAAACAAATTAAAAGCTGTACAGATGCAGAATAAGTGTATGAAGTGAAAACAATGCTATGTATACGTACGGTGAGCCTTTTTGCACTCAACAAATGCTATGGGAAATAATTTATTTTCGTATCACAGCAACTTTATAATCCACCCTACACAACCCTATCAGACGTATTAACTCAGGATATCCAGTATGTGATAAAACATTATTCGAATATTTTCGATGATTTTTTGTGTGTCCCCCCCCAATAAATGACAGGAGTACAGACATAAAAATGGAATATTCAATAAATACTAAATTTTTAGGAGAAGACTGGTCAAATGACTAGGCTGCCAGCTTAAGACTTAAGAAGAACAGAGTTTAATTCTCTTTCCCACCACAGACTGCATCGATGATACTCAGAAAATTCAATTAAATTCAATTATGGAGGAATCTACAATGGCACTAATGAACAGTGGCATTCAGCACTACCACAGCTAAAGCTACCTGAGCACTAAGCAAAACAAATCCACTGATTTCTGGGAAGCTTTTTGTGCATTCATGGTAAGATATTTATAAATGCTAAGGATCTGTTAGCTGAAAATGTAGCATGACAAACCTCTTAACAGGTTAGACAGGTTCTTTACGTACAGCTCAGTTACACACAGTTGCCTGAAAAGTGTCGACATGAGCTAGTGGATCTTGCTGCTCCGTATCTAAGTAAGTGGTAACTACACAGGAATAATACTGGACAGGGTTGCTGCAAGGATAAATGCATGAAAGACTGATGTTGCTCAGATGCTTAGCAGTTACATGAAACTAAAGAAAGTCTTATTATCCCCATAAAGAATTCAATCTTAAATATTTTGCAGTTTGTCCATTTAAATCACCAAGGCTTGGAGAACCCTTCAAAGATAGAGTTTCTCTTCCTGAAGCTAAAGACACTGAATTGTACCAAATATGAGGACAAGTCTTTAAAGCTCGGAAACTGAGTAAAATAAATGGTTTCTAGAAACCCATATAAAACCCAAAGAAAATTAAAATAGAAGTAATTGCACTTATCTGTAACCATACAACTGACACAGCGGAAGGCACTGTATGCTCCGTTGTTATGTATTATTCCCCCTGCCCCCATTAACATCAGCTATGCAACCTTAGCTCTCAGCAGCAGATATAAAGTATTAGTGACTCCTCTGCAACCACTACTCAATAACTTATCCTGCATTCACATTCCTGAATACTTCACCTGTGTTATGCTGCTGCAAGCTACAGGTAATGGTGGCACAAAGGAAGTGCTCTGAGACCAACTCTGTGTCTTCATTACAGCAATAAACTAAAGGAATATGAAGAAATAATGTGGTAAGATGCTTGTCTGTTCCATTTCTTGATTTACATTGTACGTAATAACACCTATACTTTTATTATGACCCTTCTGAGGGTCAATAGTTTATAAGCAAAATTAAAGGAATTTTTTGGGTGAAAAGCAGGCTAAATATATTTAAAAAAATCATACTAATTGAGATTTGCATAGGTGTAATTCCATATACACAGCAAGATGTTTATCACTTATAGCATAATGTGATACATACGATTTTGTTTGATGTGTAAACTCAAATTACGCAACAGAAATGAAAACCCAACCACGTGAATATTTGCCACTATTTTGTAAGGTCGAAATGATACAAGTCTGCCTGAGGGGCTCACGTGAGGCTTGGAAGTTTTTGCCAACTCCTCAACTTGTTTATACTTCCATTTAAGAAAAACAAGTACATCATCAATCTAAAGGCTGTGGCTTGACGAGACGGAAGACCTCCTGGAATTATCGTATTCTAACACAGTATGGGTAAAGACATATAGTTTTGTTCTAGTCCTCCACTGAAATAATGCTTTGAAACTACAGTTAATAGATATGAAGCCAGAACAAATTCTTAGTTACAAATGAAAAACATTCATATAAAGAACAGATCTGTAGAAATGTCATTTGCAGGTCTCAAAAATTACAAGTCTGAACAACTCGTACCTCTTTATCTGCATGCAGAAATCTGAAACGACTGAACAGGAAGCCAAAAATCTGATGCAAACAGCTTCAGTTAACTGCAAAAATGACCATGATTCTAGATTTCAGACAATCAAAATGAAGGTTCTGATTCTGTTACACACACAACACCTATGTGTAACTGTATTTAGTGGAATCAAGTTTTAAAATTTCTGAGGAAAACTCATTTTTTCCCTATTATTCCAGAGAATTCACCGTAACATTATTAAATATTACAACTGTTTTTAGAATTATCAAGTAATGGAGTTGTTCTGACTTTCAGAGGATGCTACTTTACCTTTATTTATTTTATAATGGTTAACGGGTTTTAATAAGTATCTGATTCTTACATCAAATAAAGTTAACTTATTACTCTACCTTGGACCTGTTTCTAGCATACCTAAAACATTAAGCAAGAGCTTTAGGGGTGGTGGGGGGTGGGAAGGAGTTGTTTGGGTGAAAGATCACTAAGATGCCTATCAGAAACTAGCACTGAATAAACCCCAGAATGGTTTTTAGGGGATATTATGTACCCCAGTACTATCTTTTGAATGATGTATCAAGCAGAGAGTGGACACGTCCGATCGTTAAAATCCAAGTGCATTTTTTTTCTTGATGTCCGTGTCTCTCTTGTCCTACCCAACATTTTAGCATCAGCAATGCTTCCCCAGTGGCACTGCCCCTCTGGCTTTCCCTGCGGTACTGCGCTTCATAAGCTTCTTACAACTCATGCAGTGGTTTTATGTGTTATTCAGTACTTGTGATGTTTAACTCAGAGGTGGCTGTATTTTATTCATGAATGGTACATAAAAAGTTACGACCAGAGGGAGTTTTATGGGGAACCTGTAGCACACTGGAGAAGGAATTGCAGTTCTCTCAGTCTACATACTTCATTGAAAACAAATGTCATTTTGATAAACAATTTATGTACCAAAACTGTAACTAGAATGAATTTGAAAATTAATATTTAGTATAATGGGATTACCCTTGCAGGTTTTTTTTAGGAGTACCGACACATACTTAGCTGTAAAGCTCTGTGGTTTTGACCCATTGATAAAACTGCAGGAGACCTCTGACTTAAAGCAAATTAGATGTTATTACGCTTATTAGTGACAATATCAATTATTTCAATTCCACCACACGGAAACTATTTTACTCCAGAGACATATTCTAAGAACTTTAATAAACATAAGTACGCAGATGGACCCTCACCTGGCATCTGCTCCTCACCTGTTTTTAAAAAATATTTATTATAAAGAAACCATTACAGTTTATAAAAGCCTGGAAAAATATTTACATTGAAAAATAAAGTAAATAAATAATCATGAAAAAGAAGTAGTCTGAAACGTAAATGGCTAATCTCATAGAAAATGTAACAATTTTTTTTTTTTTTTTTTTTTAAACTGAGAAAAGATTTGGGAGATTCGATACTGAAGTGCAATAGGAACAAAAATATTAAGACCACTGTCTCAAAATGTGCTAAAGGGATTAGTATTGCCTCAATTTTAAAGACAGGAAAACAGAGACATGAATAATACCTTGTCACTTGCATCACTCTTCAAATTACTGTCAGTGAAATTGTGATGCTAAAAAAGTTCTGTGATTGTACGTGTCAAAGGCACTGTGTAATTATATTTATTAGTTTTAGTCCCCACAAATGGACTATGCCATTTCATGAAAAAAGAAATGGCAAATCCATAGTGATAGCATCAAATTAATTGGAATCTGCAGATTGGCAAACTAGATTTTGACTGGCTCTGGCCAGCAACCTCAAAGATTTACATCTGCAGACTATTTTCAGCAACTAATTCAGAATACAGACAAAATGCCTCGACAGGCTTTATAAATACTGCTAGCAACACTGGAATTGCAAGACTGAAAGACCACTTGAAAGCTCTGTTACAGACCACGCAGACACTCTTCCAACCTGCTTGAAGAAGCTGCTTTTTAAAATACGAGCTGAAGGACACAATCGCTGAAATGGCTTCAAAGTAAAAGGCAGGAGAGTGTGCCAGTCCATCGGGACTGATTCCTGACTACATCCCTACAGGAGAGGGTTTAGACAGAGTGTTTGCTCTCCAGACTAGGGGCAGAAAGGCATAACCTAACCTGATCTCCTACTACACCTCTGAAATAGTATACGGAAAGTAATATAACTACGCATATGTCTGCGCAAAATGTTTATACCAACTGAATCTCAAATTGAGCCTTCCGCCCATCACCTCAACAATCCTGAATTCCCTCTTTCAGTCCTCTACAACACAGAATTACTGCGCAACATGAATTTGAAGAATACAAGGAGAATGATGCAGGGTGCAAATTCAACTTTTCTTGAAAATTGGTAACAAAGTTCAACAAAAAAAATGTCAGATTACAAATGGAAAAACTCGTCTTTCTTTTTAGCCAGAGTTTAATCAGACTCAGATATAAACGTTTAATGGATCAAGAACTCTGTGAAACTGGTAGGACCATACTATCGCTTCTGTACAATAAACATTACAGAACATTATGCAATTTGCCAAACTTTTCTCTCCATCCTAGATATATTTTTAGCTTCAACTGTGTTGGCTCTGATAAAATGAATGATTATAATGAACGGTACAGGAACAGTCACAATATGGAACGTTTTAGTACAAACACCTCCCACAAAAACTTCTTGATATAAATACACTTAATATCTAAAATACCTTTCTTCCATTTGACTTATTTAAAAACTCTAAGCAATCTGCTAAAAGAAAAGCAAGTTGCAAATGACAGACTGATTTGTGATCTCTGCAGGAATTTGCTACCCAGTGATTCACCTCTCAAGTGCAAAACCCAGGAATACTGCGTGGAGTCTAGTATCACCCTGAGAAACCTGGAAAATCACTCACGTCTTACTTACTCGTTAATAATCAGATCTGGTGCAAAGCACAGGAGATTTCCATTTGATTGTTTATATGACCTCCATCCTAAAGCAAAAGCCATTAGGAACATCCATGAGTACTGGAGAAGGGTCATTTGGTCATCCAGATGTAAATTTCGGAAACCTGGAAAAATAAAGATTGAGGTGTGACAGTATTCGTTGCAAAAAATGAAAAAAGGTAACTGTGAAAAGGACCATCTTATCATCAGTACAACTTCTGTATTGCCAACGTAGATTACCACTTTTAAAAGTGTATTTGATAACAATTTCTGTAACTGTGATGGCTGTACCTGAAATAACAACAAAATTTCTTGCCATATTACAATCATCTGATTCAGTCAAGTATCTCTGTATTTTAGATTAGATTTTTGGTGGAAGGAAAAAAAGGAATTAGAACAGTAAGATGTTTCTTATGAGAAAGTTCTTGTTGAATGAAAAAAAAAGCACTTTAAAAGGGGTGCAAAATTTCAACACCATTTTCCAGCTAGTAAGGTTATATTCAAATACTTAGCATACCATTAAGGAATCCTTTGTCCATTCAAAATTTTGCATACGTAGAAATTAAGTGTTCCTAACCATAGGACTCAAATTACATCTTCTGGACAATATGACTACATACGAGTCTTGAGCGGTTTGAATAGAAGGCTTCAGTACAACTCGACCTTGAGCTGGTTTGAATGTGTAACACTCGACCACACAAAACATATATAACACAGAAAAACAGGCAAAAGAGAGCAACAGAAAGAGTAACTCTTGAACTTTGCATCATACATTATATTCACATTTATATATATACATTTTCAAAATAAATTCTCAGCACCCTGTCTACAAAAGCGCACGCACACTGAAAGCGCCGGGCTCTGACGACCATGATGTCAGTTACTTTGTGGATGGACAGAGTACCAGATGCATAATTCTCCACAGGTACTACAGGTATTAAAAGGGGATGTAATATTAAAAAAATCAGAATATATGTGTGCGCTTATCTGGAACTGATGGTCAGTTAGATAGATTATAAAAGACAACAATTATATTTAAAATACACTATAATTCATTTGGCTATCTTCCAAAAATGACAGTATTTTTTACTTTTTGAGAGAGCAGTCCACTAGACAATAAGTGCTCTAGTGTCAAATTTTGTTCTTATTCAACAACAATCATACACTGAACTTACAAAATACGTATTGCATTAGTTACCATCACTAACTGTGTCTAATCTTGTAAGAATATGTAGCATGAACAGAGACAATTAAACAATAAGGAAATGTGTAAAATCTGAAAATTGGTCCCTTAAACAGTCTTAAAATGTAGGCAGCTTTTAATTTGCAACACTAGTTCCTGTCAGATCCTGCCTACATTTAGTAAGAAAATACCGTGCCACATTGAATCATTATTAAAGTCTGAAATCAAGTTGATTTTATTTAATTTTATTAATCATCTGACATGTAAAGAGCTCATAACGGTGCTGCTTCCTGAAGATGTTTAACTAGATAGCATTGAGTAGGTTAATAGGTAACAAAACTGGGTATGTCTAACAACTTCAAGAAAAGCTTCTGGCTTTGGAGACAGCGGTAACTGCCATTTACTACTTCTAAAATACAAGCCAAGTGTTTCAAAGTTATTTCAAACTTACTGGGTCAAATCTTGAAATCTTTGCTCAAACCCTCCTCAGGAAAAGCCTATTTTGAAATCCCAACTAAAGGGTTTAGCAACCAATGCTGGCTTACTGCTAGCATGTCTGATGGTGTACAACCAGTAGCAGTGTATACAAGTTAAATACTCATGAAGAACCACCTTAGCAACCAAAAAAAAGGAATAAAAAAGAGAAGAATAGTTCCTATTAATATAATTATTAGAGGGAAGATTGGCATTTTCATTAAGAGCATATGTTCTAACCTGAAGGGTTTGTCTAATTAGGGAAACTGTTCAGAAGAGATTATGAAGACAGAACTGTTTTATAAAAATGGTATCTAAATTTGTATTTGTGAATACCAGGATGGTCTCCTAAAGACTTGTCCCAGAAGAAAGTGTGCGCAGGTGAACTTTTCCTAATGCAGACCTTGGCTCACTCAGCGTAATTCCCCGTTGCAGAAAAGCCCTGACAGACGTACAAATCTCCCTGGACATATATATTTGAGTTTACTAGCCTTTCTTTCCTACTGTTAATCTATTTCCCCTGCCTCAAAAGAGACACCATTATGACTCATAAATTTCATTATCAGACTTTCCCCAGACCTGTTATGTGATGTTATTCTTGGGCAACATATGCATTATGGAGGTGTTTGCTAGGGCTTTTGAAAACAGGTAACTAACCGTACTGAGTAGAAGTGAAAGGGAGAAAAACACTAGTCTTTGGTCTGTCAGGAATAAACAGATCTTCGGCTTTGGGAGAAGCCGGGGCCGAAAGTAAAGACATACCACGGGATGCTATGCGTTATGTCCAAGGCTGAGATTTGACATCACTTCTTCTGCAAGGCAATTACTAACTGTGTCTTCAGGTGGGAGCCAAAATAGCAACAAACCTTCTACATTCCCCAGGTGACAGTCAGTTTAATCGTGTAGCTACAGCGCTTGAGAGACAATGAACATCATGACTTCCACTATGGGACTGCACGCTCAAACGCCTATTTCCAGTTAAGAAAAAACTACAGATATGGTGAGAGTAGTAAAAAAAGAACCATCCATGAATGCAGACCCAGACAAGCCAGTACAGCAGCACCAGTCTGTAAAAGTCAAGAGAACCTCATTGCTAAAAATATTCAAGAAATAATTATCTAAGAAGTGCAGCTAGAGCTAATAAAAATAGTTCTCTACGTTACTTTTATAAACAAATCTCTATTTTAATATGAATTTTAACACTCAATGGTCAAAGGGTTCAGGTAAAATGACGTAACTTGTAATCCTAGTAAATAAATTTTTGCATCTGTGTTTTTTCTGCTTTTCCACTCCAGATGTATTTGAGACACGAATTAGCTCAGATATTACTAAAACTTTATCTGTGAAGGCTTTGAAGGATACCAAATACGAAGACAGATTTTAAGTACAATAAATAGACTGCGCTTCGTAATTAACATGTTTGCGTATTACCTGGTATTGCCTTTGCCCACTTCACTGCGGCTACTACTTGCCGTCCTCCCAACATGTTGAGGGTTGACAGTATCCGCCAGCTGGAGTCCGGCAGCGTGCTGTCGTAGCCCGAGTACAGCACCTCCGGCTCGATCACTTCCAGCAGGGAAACCAGGGTCGGGGTCAGCTGCGGCAGGGAGGCAGGAACGATGCTCTTGTTTCCAGGCGTTTCGGAAACATCCCGCGTTCCCGTTACGTTAGTCTGCTGAATTCCTTTTATCTTCTTCTTTGTTTTTCGAGCTAGGAAAGTTTTGGTAAGTCACAGGTTAGATAATGGAAAGTGACCACGCAGCAATAAAAACTACCAGAGGAAATGCGCCTTCCATTTTCCTGCAGTTGTAGATCAGACAGTTGAAACTTTTAAAGCATTTTTTCATAAATCTGTAAGTAATTTCATTTCAATTCTAATTAAACCTCCTGTGAAAATAAGTTTATTTTATGTTTTAATGAAAGTCACATTTATGTTAATGTTTCAAAATGTTAAACAACACCTGCAGGTAGTACAAATACAAGGCCTGATCCTGCAATTTCTGTTACACGCAAGACTTCAGTGAAACTTCATGTGACAGCATGACACCTGTTTGGGAATATTTGCAGGACTGCGCACATTGTAAGTTCCTTAAAATATTAAGTATAGAAACCATACAGAAGAAAGGAAAAAAAAAATGTATTTAATGGGTAAGAAGTTACTCAATCTCTCGAGCCAGGGAAAACATTTTTTTGAAAATGCTGGGCAGGAGGAGGTTCTTCTTTTGCCAACTCTCTTGCATATAAATCATTGCTGCGTAATTAAACCATAAAACTCATTCGCCAAATAAATAAAACATCACACACATATGTTAACTGTAAACTACAAAAAGTTGGAGCAACAATTTTATTAGCATATTGTCAATAATGGAGTCTCCTACTTGGCTTTCAGCTCTCCTGGATGCAGGCTGCTACACTGAACGCACTATTTAACCGAGACCAAAACGAAACCCAGTTCTTTTCCTGCATCTCAATTAATTAATTGGTTTCTGTTCTGGAACTTCCAGATAAATCAGTAGCACATAAAAGCATCACGTAATGTGGTTTCACATTCAAAGTTTCTACTGACCTATTCAGAATCTCTAATCATCAGAAATGCACCAACTCTGTAGCTTAACAACATATAAAATCCCCCTCCTGACCCTGTTTCTCCCACTGGCTAGGACAGAGACTTCAAAAACTAACTGCTAAAGATAAGAAATTCTCTGTGGACGTTGTATAAATTGCATTTTCCCAAAGGCTTATACACTGGCCACATTTGCCAAGACTGTCATGGGGGAATAGCAACAGTTATTTCCTTGGACCAAAGAGCTTCTTGTTATTCTCATCTAAATTTTGAAATGGCTGCTCCAAAATCCTTTCAACATTCTGACATTTTTTTGCCCCATCATCCTTGTTCTCAAAAGAACAAGGCTGCACCTCAAATACTGTGTTCAGTTTTGGGCCCCTCACTACAAGAAGGACGTTGAGGTGCTGGAGCGTGTCCAGAGAAGGGCAACGAGGCTGGTGAGGGGTCTGGAGAACAAGTCTTATGAGGAGCGGCTGAGGGAACTGGGGTTGTTTAGCCTGGAGAAAAGGAGGCTGAGGGGAGACCTCATCGCTCTCTACAACT